TTCCTTCCTTCCTTCCCTCCTCCCTCCCTCCCTCCCTCCCTCCCTCACTTCCTTCCTTCCTTCCTTCTCCAGAATAGGTCTGCTTTCTAGGCTCTATTATTTGTGTTACTTAAGCAACAGATAGACCCAGATAGACCCAACTCTGTCAGATCTTAAAAGACCGGCAGAAATCATAGAGAGAGATGATTCTCTTTGTCCCTCTCCACCTCCTCTAATGGCAGGCTCTGCTTCTTGCCCATGTCCCATACTTTGACCTGAACTATATGGTATGATAAAGCAAGAGAGAAAATATTTTTTTAAAAAAATATGATACCAGTAAGGTTTATACCAATGTATGGAATGCTGCAGAATATGTAGGTGGAATATGGTTTTGAAATGTTAATTCTGTTATCCTCTCCATCTAACAGATGTTGTTTCTCCCATCAATGCTGCCTGGAACAAGTTAAAAGACTGGGATGCCAGCCAGAAAAAAACCCAAGATCTGAAGTTGTGTGCTTTGATCACACACCAACATGTAAGTTTTGAGAATAGCAGCATCCAAGAATCACCTCTTTCTTAAGTGAAACATTTTTAAAAGAAAAGAAAAAAAAACAGCTTTCTCCAGTGAATAGCAATAGACTTATATATCACTTCACCCTGCTTTACAGCCCTCTCTAAGCGGTTTACAGAGTCAGCATATTAACCGCAACAACTTGGGTCCTCATTTTACCAATCTTAGAAAGATAAAAGGCCGAGTCAACCTTGAGCCGGTCAGGATCGCACTGCTGGCAGTTGGCAGAATTAGCCTTGCAATACTGCTTTCTAACCACTGTGCCAACATAGCTCTTCCTGCAGTCAAGGAAGAAATTTCAACAAAAGGGTTAGAATTTCCTCAGACAATTAAAAATTCACCTCCCCAGTCTGCTAGGAAGGGATACCTTGGGGTAGGTGGGTGGACCAAATTTGTCAAAATGATAGATATGACCAAATAATCAAATGGAATCCTTGGTGCTCCCTGAGCTTGGTTGTTTTCTTGCAGATGCTTCATTACCCTACTACAGACATGTCAAACACAAGGCCCGGGGGCCAGATGCGGCCCGCAAAGTGGTTTCATGTGGCCTGCGAAGCCATCCTGGAAACAGTGAGGGAATGGCCCCCGCTGCCTTGGCCCTGGCCCAGGCCAGCCGGGAGCCAATGTACAATTTTGTGGTGGCCATCTATGCTGAAACGCATTCAGTCTTAGCTCCACAAGGCCGTCTAGAAACAGCGAGGAACCAACCCCTGCTGTGTCGCCCCCGCCCCCTGGGTGCATGCTGGGGAGGTGTCACCCTTTGTGAGGAATGAAGAAATGGACCATGCCTTGGAGCTTGCCCCGGTCCCACCCCCCTTCTGCCAGAGGCCCTCAGATCTGTCCCACTCCTGCCCAGAACCCCACAGGAACCCTTGACGCGAATGGTGTAGAGCTGGCCACGCCCACCCAGTAGGCCACACCCACTCCATCCACACCCACCCAGTAGGCCGTACCCACC